TCTTACAGTCACTTGTGAAATTCACCAGCTTTTATCTGTATTATGCATGACATACGTGACTCAAAACTAAAAAAACGGGATAATAAGAGAATGCAATCCTTCGCTTTTGGGTACGGTATGCTTTTGTGAATGAGGGGGAAATTTTGCTATTTAAAGGTGTAATGCAAATTTTTTAACTCACCCGAAGGTCCACGTAGAGAGAGTAGTCGCTTGATTCTTGCAAAGTAACACCGTAAGCGAAACTCCACAAGGAAGCTGTGAGGAATCTAGTTCTGTAAATAAATGCAAACAAACTTTAAAATAAAAATGATTTAAAAGGATAATAACTCTTCGTTTTAGCCAAAAAAAAATGAATCATACTTACCAATGGTTAATGAATCCATTTTCACATTCAAAGTTAGTCCCTGTTTTTTTGTAAAAAGTTTGTTTTTTGTTATAATCTCTTAAGAGATTATAACAGAGCATAGCCATCAATGGAGGTCACGTGGTCTAAAGACAAGCTCAGATTCCAGAATAATAGCTATAACTGCCGTTTTTGTAGTACAACAGAATATATAATATTTCTATGAGTTGTTCACAATGTTTTTATTGTGAAATATAGATCTCATACGAAGAGTTATTATCCCTTTTAACTTTGACCTAAAATAAACCAGTAACAAAATATTGTGTCTGTTTTATAACAAGGCAGACAACGATAGTCTTTCAGGACATTGCTTACTGTACTTAAGTGCACTGTGGCATCGATTTAATTGAACTGAAATAGACGAAAAGGCCATTTTATTTTACGGCTAGATCTTTTTCCTGCAAAGTTAATTTGCCTCTTAAGGTCTGTACATGGCACAACATTAATCTCTGTCCATAGGGGGCTTTATAGTCTGACCGCTTATGAAATTAAAGAAAATGATAGTCTTTTTTATTCAATATCATGCAACCGAGTAGGCTACAGGGCACCTCCCCCGAGTGTCGGGGCACTATAATGCTAGATTGCTCAAGACACCTTTCCACGTGATAGCTTTACAGTGCCCAGGCCCGTAGCCAGGGGGGGGGGGGGGGGGGGGTTCGGGGGGTTCGAAAGAACCACCCCTTTTGGTGGGAAAAGGTCCACTCTGTGTAAAATTTGATCTAGGTTCATGAAGTTTTTATGGAAAAAGGTCCACTTTTTCAGAAAAAGAACCCCCCCCCCCCTTTTGAAATTGCTGGCTACAGGCCTGGTGCCCATGACGAATAGTAGCAATATTGCGTATCCGTCAATCAATCGTGAATCAGCAGTTGAATGTCATTAGTCAAAAATGAAACGTAAAACAGTTTTATTTTTGCTTTATTTAATTTTAGTTACTGTATTTAAGATGTTAATTGAAAAATAAATAATAAGGCATATATTTGTCGAACACGCCCCTAGTATGCCGGTGGTGGCTAGAGTTGGTTTTGCTCATGTGGGTTATATGTGAAAACAAGATCCAGGTGGCAATACCGAAATCTAGAACCTAGGGTACAGCGACCCCTCGTGGCCAGAGAGAAATAAAACAGATAAAGTGAGACCTACCCGCTCGGGAACGTGACCCGCTGTTTCACCCCACCTGACCCTGAACAGTTAACCCTTGCTGACCACTGCCCAGTGTGGGCCATCGTGTTGGTCGGAGTGAAGGAGTTGTAGTATGGTTGATAGAAGTCAGTCGTGCCAGTTTCAAAGGAAGGGTCCGCCACTAAGTTCATTGGGGCTATAATAGATCATCATTAATTAATTTTAATTAATTGAAACGAATTAATTAATTTACTCTATGTATTTGTTTAGAAATACGAATTGAGCACGCCGCTTTTAGTTGTGCATATACACTCGACCAAAAAAGTTCGGAAACATCGTTTTTTAATAATTATAAAATAATCATATGAGCTGAGACACATATATATATCTTTTACCAAATATTTAGGGATAGTGCATTTAGTGTTTTAAACTTAAATGTATATAAAAAAAATCATTTGTAATATAAGAAGTAAAACAACATGATTTACAAACGTCAATACAATAGGTATAAAATTAAAATCATCATACCTGTGTTACTACTTTTGTCTGATACACTCTGAAAAAGAATTAATTAATTAATTAACGAATGAAAAATAAATAAAAAATTTAATGTAATGGACTCAGTTTATTTTCTATTCAGAGTGAACCCTTTCCAGACTAAAGGGAGCAGTTCGTTCGAGTCCCTTGAACCCCTCTCCCCACGGGCCTGCGTTTAATAGAAACATTGTCTAGGGGCGAGGTGTTGTTTAATACCCTGGTATTACCACACTCTGAAAATGTTGTACTCTTTCTCTTAATGTGATTTGTTTAAACAATGCAGAGAGCAAAAGGCCACGTACCAACAACATAAGTATGAGTATCGACCTAAAAAGCGCNAAAAAATTTTAAATATTAGAAAAACTTCTCTGAAAAGTGTCAAAAACCCACACATTAGTCCTCCCATATCTGCTCAATCACGATTTTATGATATTGTAAAAGGTGCAATTACCAGTTTAAAACAAATATTTTTATCCCACTTAGGGCAGGCTACCATAGGAAATATGAAACACTCCCTGCAAAATACCTCACACAATCGCAAGCAGCTTATCTTTTCACTGTTTGTTTATATTCAAACAATGCTAATAATGCCTTCTAAGTCAAAGTCCATTCTCTTGTCGCTTCCAGGCTGTTCTACTCAAACAGAACGAAGTCTCTCCCTCTCTTACTTCTTAAACCACGGGTAGCACGTAGAAAAAAGACTCGGCCGTGCTGTATTCGACCTACAAGCACGTCATGTACGAGTGCACTCCCTTTACTCATTAATGTAGTAGCCAATTAGAGGCTGTGGTTAAAGCCAGATACAACACTCGTCGCCAAGCTGTACGTGAAAATTACTCGTGTTTTGTCTCCCCTGCGGCTCTATAATACACTCGTAATATTTCACGTACAGCTCGGCAACTCTTATTGTATCCATCACTTATAAGCACCTTTGGTTGTGTCACTGAAACTAACGAATCGATAATAACTAGGACGCGATGACTGAGCTTGGAGGGAATATTGACGATGGGGGTAACATCTGTGATGTGATACATAGTGAAATCTGCTTTTGCGGCGAGATATAGCCCTGACGGGGGCGTCTCGATAGTCCGAAGGTTCATTGGTCCGAAAAGTGGTAACGTTTTCATCGATTTTTTAATCAAAGGTTCATTGGTCCGAAGGTTCTATAGTGAACATTCGGACCAATGAACCGTCGGACTATTGAACCTTCGGACTATCGCTACGGCCCCGCACTGACCTAGTCAGACCTATATGTAGTAGCAGCACAATGAACCGATCTATCACTTTCGCATAGAAATTATCTCACTAATGCAGCCTAACTGACAGACCATCAAGTAGACATACTAGTAAGTAGCACACATGTATATATATATATATAAATATGTACACCTCAGTGGAATTGGTGTCATAACAACATGAAATACTGTATGTATACCAACCTGATGCGGCTGTGTTGTGCAATACCCAGCTGTATATAAGCTAGCCTGAACAATATTTGACTGCGTTCAAGGCTCGCGTGACATCTAAGGTCAAGTTTATTTGTAGATTTAACATTCACCCGGTCATGATAACAATGAATATGTAAACACTGCCTTTAGGAATTTGGCGCCGATAGAAAAGTTCGTGGCTGTGGATATAATCTGCTGTATTGCACAACCCCCTGAAATCTGCCCTCTTTCCGGGGTCACAGATTGAGTTTTCTTTAAATATATTCCGAGAATATGAGAGAATGCGAAAATTTTGAATGTAAATAATGCCACAATTTAGCTTGTCTCTCTAGCATATATAGAGTGGCTGAAATACGTATGGCGCATATAAAACCTGGGGCCTTAACAGACTCTATACATGTTAAAACTGTTAACTGTTAAAACAAAAACTATTAAGTTACTGGATACAGTGATCGGTTTTGTCGACTCACCTCTCCCAACTGCCTTGAGACACCCCAAAACCAGCTGTTATAACTTAAAACCAGCATAAATTGGATATTATACAAAGTACGAGACAGAAAAAATAAGGACAGGATCTTGCGTTGGTTACTGAAAATAAGCTCAATTTTTTAAAAAAGCACAGCATGCATAACGTGTGTGTGATCCTCACCACCGACACCACAAATTGAGATCGAATTATGCAAAAATGAAAACTAGAAGAATTTGGACCTCGTTCGAGGGCACAGTTCGGCATAGACGCGACAGGAGAGAGAGTACTGCTCCCCGAGAGTCGATAGACCGTTGATAAATTGTCCGGACCATAGAGACCTCTAGGGAGTTCCTGTCAAGTGTAGTTTTTGGCAAAAAGGAGTTCCTATAGATTTCTGTGTTGCCTTAGAGGGGATAACCCCATGAAAAAAAGTGAACATTTTTAAATGTTCACTTTTAAATATCACGTCAGTGTCACAAGCATTTTGTGTTATATCATAGCTAACCATATCACATTGCCACTATATTGTAAAATATTGGAAACCCTCAACCTATTTTTTTAATGTGCCATAACAAAGATTTTTATTATGTTTGCTCAACTGTTTCAGATAATTGTCTAATTACTGTTAATTTCTTTCTATATTGGAGACTGCTTAAAGTATTCAACAGCTGAAATAATGGGAAAGTTCAGGCATCTATCCCCAGTACAACATCCTTTTTATAGTTCCCGCGCTGAACTCAGTAGGCCTTTAATTAACAAGTCAGCTTGAATACGTTTCTGCGCCTGCCCACCTTTCCCTGGACCAACGTTTTGAAAATGCGTATATTTCTGTTACATGTTGCCTGCAATGTTCAAGATGTCTTCTTTTACTCCTACTCCTAAAAAATTCCACTTCCACCGGGGACTCGTTTCGTAGTGAGATTTTATATGTCAGTGGGAGGAAACTGGGTTAAGAAATTGTTTCAAATGGAGAATAAATTTGCATTTTCCAATTCTTTCTTCACTGCCACTATTCAAATGAAAAACAAACGTCTTTTTAGATATGTCCTGTACCCAGTAACCTTGCAGATTACCGAGAGACTTTATTGAAAAATAAAGAATTTCAGTAAGAAAATGAAGTAAACCTAATATTGGAATAAGTTTATGAGAATCAATGTGAAAATGAACTATTAAAAAAAACGCAACAACAACTTTACGATGCAATGTGCCGGTAGCTAGGGCGAAAAGCTACAAAAAGAAGAGGTAAGATTTATAAAGGTATTCTGTATTCTCATTATAATTCTCGAACAATAGTTAGCTTTTGTAATCAGTGAAAAGTCATTGACACACTTGGAGACCTATTCTATATTGAACCACCCTGTTGAAGACATACAAATTTGAAGAAAATGTATCATCAATTACTACTGAGATTTACTGTTATGCCATATATCTAACCGGGTTTGCTGTTGTTTTAACTTATAACATTAATTTTACGTTTGTGTAAAATGTGCAAAGTTAGGTGACTTGTAGGCCCATTTGGCCGAGAGACATACATATTTATATTTATTCACATGTCACGTTAAAATAAATAAATGCTATATAGTCTATATACTTAAAAGTGAAGACGAAGCTTAAATATACTCGACAAATGACAAAAATGGAAATATCGATTACTAATGATCATAAATGTCAGTCAAAACTTTGTTTCACTATAAACATAAACATTTAGTTTCTGGATCTGTCTTTTGAATAACATCGATGTCATGCATTGTTTCATTCATTAAAGAAGACGTGGAAGTTTAGTGCCTTCTGTGCACTTCAACCTTAAAAGGAAGTGGATATCGCAAGAGACCAATACGAGCCTTGAGGCCCGGTTTCTCTTCCCCGGCGGGTATTTTAAACGAGAACTGCTGAAGCAAGTTGGTGAAGAACAGGAACAGTTCCATCTTTGCAAGGGACTCTCCGAGACACACACGACCGCCTGCAAGGAAAATGAATAAAATCTGAAGAGAACTTGTTATGCAATTTCACGAGTTTCTGCTCATTATGTTGGAAAATGACACTACGCCTACCAGTTACCCCGTGTTCGCTTTGCAATAGTCTTATATAGCGCTGCAGTGAGCCATATATGCATTAAACAGAAATGACTTCCCACGTATGCATCTGTGCTAGTCTTAACAGAAAGTAGACTCTACATGTACAGAAACGAAGCTTCAACGCCAAACATAGTGGCCCCTGCAGGTGATTGTGTTAGGTGTTCTAGCCACGGTGAGCGAACGTTCTGTTACACGGACCTTCAGTTTCGATACACCTGCGCCGTTAGAAACATTCTGAATCAACGGCAAACCTACCAAGAGAGAATGGTGTCAGACAATCTGGAATTTTCCCCAACTTTCCACTCTCGTCCAGAAACCTTGTTGGATCAAACTTGTTTGGGTTGTTCCAAAATGACTCATCGTAAAAGACAGAAAGAAAATTTGCCGTTATGTTTGAATTCGCGGGGATGGTATAGCCCTGAAAAAAAAAAAGAAGCAATATTGTGTAAAATGTCTTTATAAAGTTGATCCAAGTAATTTATATTTTCAAAATAATGCAAACAGTAGAAGGGAAGTAGAAATGTAATTTCACACAAAAATGCCCTAATTATGAGGAACAACATTTCCAGTCCATTTTACATGCAAAAAAAAAAAAAAAAAAAAAAAAAAAAGAAAGAAAAGAAAAAGAATCAAATTATTGATTATCCTTTCAGAAGCTGGTATTAGGCTTATTTATTTATTTTTGTTTACATATGATATTCCAATACCATCATCTCAACGTCCTCCGTATTACTGTGTCCCGCCATGGGAATGACACACCCAAGGCGCTGTATCTCCAGCAGTGTGGCTTCCGTATAGGGCAAGGAGGCACGGTCCTCCATGGAGACACGGCGGGCACCTATCACACTGTCAAGTTCATCGTGAACCTTCACAAAAGATAAGTATAATAAAATGTATTTTGAAAGTTTGCAAGTAAAACGAAACAGATATATACAGACACATTCAGTCTGTATATAAAATAGACTAGTAAACTGAGCGAAAAAAATGGCCTACCCCAGGACTAATTGCAAAAAAATTGTAATGATGTTTTTTAGAAAGCTAAATATCCAAATTTTAACATATTAAAAATCTAGAAAAATCTAAGTAGTGGAAAATGGTTTTCAGGGCAGTTTTCCAAGATGGCCGCCAATATGTTAAGTCTCTATAGGTAAAGGGGGTCTTTATTTTTTAGGAGTATTTTTGCTGGAATAAATGGGGTTAAGACTTTGAAATATATCCAGACTTAGAGACAAAGACCTTCTTGTTTAAAAGATAAGCTTATTTGATAAGAATTATTCACCAAAGGTCATTGGCTTAGGGTCAAAGGTCAGGCAAAGGTCATTTGTATAGATTTTTACCTGAAATATTGCCTAAAAGTTTGCAATGAATGTTTTGAAAGATTGGTTATTGAAACTTTTGGTGTTTATTACAATTATTACATCATTCACAACAAATCTGTGAAATGAAATGAATGTCTTTCGAAAAAAATGGCCGCCAATTTACGAAGTCTGCTTTTTTTAAGTCAAGCAAAACTCATTTTATCTAAAGTAAAAGAAAAATACGGGTTGGGAGTAAAGTGGTGTTTGAACAACGAGGGCTACGGCACGGATAGACGCAGATAATCAAAACATATATAAATATATGCACAGTACATATACCAGCATTTAGTACATATGCACAGATCTGTATACAAAATAGTGTTACAGCCACCTTTTCCTGTACGTCTGGATTAAGAATCAATAAGAGCAGTCCCCATCTGAGAGTGGTCACGGTAGTGTCTGTGCCAGCTGTAAACAGCTCTTCTAATATCGTCAACAATTGGAATTCTGAAACACATAAAAAGAGAAGCAGGCTTTTAAAAAGGTGACAGACCTTTTGCGCCCGAAATTATAGGCTTGCACATGTAGATCTTTGATGGAAAATTGTGACAGTAAATTTCAATCAATTACTGATGACGTACATATTCTCCAAGTAGCAACGATTGTATATTTAAAAAGGCTGCTCTTGTTCCGGTTTAAGCTCGGATCACATTAACGTAAAATATGGTATTAAAAAAAAGAGTTTTTCCTACCTGTGAAATAGGTTCCCTCTTTGTCTTTCTCGGCCTTTAAAGCCTTGATGTAGGCATCCGTGAAGCATTGTATGTTATCCGGGTCGTATTCTGCCATATGTTTCTGGATCCTCTCTTGAAGGAATTTCCGTGTAATTCCCAGGCGTTTAAGAGAGTAGTGGACTTTAAATGGGTCCCCAGGAACGTATCTCAAAATCGGATAAGTGAGTGTAATTTGTGCCCTCCTGAAATATGGTAAAATAATTCTGTCACCAAGAAGATGAAAAAGAAAGATTACACAGACCTGTGGCCTAGATCTCTATCTAGGCCATTGTCAAGAACACGGTTTCACAATATATTGCTACTATATATATATATATATATATATATATATATATATATATTAAAAGTGGAGTCACATGTCCTGAATGGAAGTAAACCAAACAATTTGGTCTTGAGTTCTTTTGTGAAGCCACCAGTTTTACCTACTCTTGGCTTGTGAGACAAGAAAATTGCAAAAATATTCCATGTCGAATACGTCGAACTGCTGGACACCATTAATTTAGAGCGACTTGTTACTACTGTCTACTTGATGAACAATTAGTTTTGACATTGTAGATGTCTAATGTTGATAAATTGAAGGTATGATATTATGTGTATGAAATAATGTTATGAACGTTATATACATTATATATCTAAACTGTTCCCCAATGTTCTTGAGAATCTGTTGGAATTTTGGATCGTCGAATTGAAATCTGAAAAAAGTCAAAATTAAATTCAGCTGTACATTTTTGGCCCATCGTATAAACAATATCAACAAATGTAAATTAATATTTTGCCAACAGGACATTGTATTGTTTGTAAATACATTTAACCTTCATTGCTTTAAAATAGTAATATAAAAATAACTCGTGCATTCAACACAATTTTACTTTCTATATATATTTTTTTTTACTTTCTATATTTTTACTTTCTATATTTGCTTTACTTTATATATTATGTTCACTTAAGGACACGATTTGTTACAATGTTAAAACTGTTAAAATGTTTAAGATGGTGGGTTATATATATATATATATATATATATATATATATATATATATATATATATATATATATATATTCAAGGAATTAACACAAATATATTAATGCATTGCTTAAAATGCCAATCTGGCCTCATCTATGGAATTAGTAAAACGGTTCTCATGTATGCATAGCTGAATGGGGTTCGTGACTCTCACCTATCTCCAAACACGATGGAATTGGTAACATTGGATATTGCAGGCATCAAAAGGTATTGCGGATCTACAGCCTTGCCGTCATATTTCTGAAATTCATCAAGAAGATATCCTATCTCTTCGTGAATCTTCTCCGTGATGGAGGTCTTCCCCAGTCCAAAGTCACGTAAAGTCATCAGGGCAAATCTCCGTTGTTGTTTCCACAGATCACCTGAAGCGTTTGCAATGCCATGGGCCACACCTTTGTGAGATAGGATAAAGAATTTGTTAACAGTTTGGAACTGAATCTAGTACCTGTTCCGTGTAGACGACGAACATGTAGCTAAGGCGTCTATGACTTTAAGGCGCGTTTTGGGTGTACATTGCACCTAAAGTTATGTCATCATGTGACAATTACTATTTTTAAAATTATGATTATAAATCCCATTTGAAAGTACGATTCTAAACATAACCTCTTTGTGCTAAGAAACGAGCACATAATCTCTCAGTTTTGGGCCAAAACGGACAAGAATCCTGGTTTATGAGAAAAGACTTTCCTTTCCAAAACAGATACTTGTGTACCAATGATTTTAGTCCTAGGAATGGAAGTCCGGGCCCATTAGATTACGTAATACAAAATAACGATATTAAGAAGTGTGAGGGCTAGCAAATAGTTGTTGAGTCGAATGATAATGCCACTTCTATGCAAAACATTTTGCTGGACCTCTGTGAAAAAATACCAAATGGAACACAGTCCAAAAACGTATCTTGTCAAAGCCGAGAAATATCTGTGAATATCTAATGAAAAATCAATACTTGAACCTGGTTTAGGGAACTGATATTAGCGCCCTAGTAAAGGAAGCAAATGCTTATAAAGTAATGGAAATTGGACCACGGTTCGTCGGGGACCACCGTCATGTCATACTAGCCCTACTTAACATAAAAATAATTCTGGTAGTTCACGTTCTAGACAATATTGTCTGTGTCATCGTTGGTATTCAAAGTAAAAAAAAAAAAAAAATCTCAATCCCAAACGCATCTTTTGTCCTCCACGCTTTTAACTAACCGTTCAGTGTAGCCCATTCCTTCCCTAAATAAGGTCCTGGTCTTCCCAAAAATGAATTCCCTTTCTTGACGAAAGCTTCGTGGATGAGCTCGTGGTTGTGAAAAATGAAGACGCTATCTCCTGTAAATCTGTTGCAGAAATATGTGAGAGGTTTGCTCTTGGGCACGTTCTTCAAAAATTCATCCAGCTCCGCAAACAGACCTAAGAACTCACTGAAGGGGAACCACTTGTTGGGTGGAAGGTTTGCTCTCGGCTTGAAAATAAATAAAAAAACTTATTCAAACTACGGTTCGAGTAGAGAATCATATGTAGACTATTCACAGCATACACATACGCGAAAAAGAGCACGCGCAGCCTGTACTTTTCAACTCGTACTGTGGAATTCTCTCTCCCTTACTCCCTCTCACCCCTCCTCTCTCTTTTTCTCTCTCTCTCTCTCTCTCTCTCTCCCTCTATCTGCGTTATAACTGATGAAAGAAGGGATGGTTCAACTACCATTGGAGAATAAACTGTTTCCTCTTCAGTAATCATCATACCTTTTCTTTCCTTCTCCACAGCCAAACCACGAGGAATGTGATGACGAAAACCAACAGCATTGAAGTGGTTGGGGAGATATCCATTATTGCAACCATCTTCAAAAGAAAATCAAATGCAAATCATATAAATGGCTTAGGCGTTTACTAACACTACCTGCAGATCTTTTAGCACCAACACCCACATTAACCCCCTCCCCAAATTAACCACCACTACCAGAGCGGATGAAAGTTATTGCTAGCTATCGCTCTGTTGGTGCAAAATAAGTGTGCGGTGTCTTGGTTAATTCGTGTGTTTTTTAACAGATTTATTTCTACAATAATTATATATACAAAATAAATTCAAAGCAGGTGGCACGTCGCCACAGCATTATGTGCTTTTAATTTATTTAATAAAATTTAATTAATCGTAAATTCATGAATTAATTATAATAATATAAAAATAATATATAATTCGTTATCATAAATTATAGTAAATAATGAATTAATTATGATTATATAGAAGTAATAATAATAATTGTGATAACACTATAATCTTGTGAAAAACACATGTAGGTCATACACTGTAAGCCTCCCTCTCGCTGGGACCTCAGCAACTAGAGAAAGAATGTAGGCCTAGACGATGCTTGTTATCAAACATGTTATCAGAATGAACATGTAAATAACGAAATGACTAGTCTCAATTGGTAGGCTTGAGACCTGCAATGGGGAGGATCAGCCCAAAGTCCTTTTTTTCAGTCACTACCGTTTATATTAAAACATAGGGAGCACGTGGAGAAGCTAATTAAGGGGGGAGTAGGCCTACCACACCCAGTTACTTGATTGTGAATGTTTTACCCCTCGTTAATGGATCTTGGAAAAATGGCATAAAACCTAGATTATGTAATTTTCAGCAGTGTGCATTAATTTTCCGACCAAGTATGCATTTCCCCCGACACCCGAGCCACACCCCACTTCTACGCCATTTCTATTTACTACCTACATAGGCCTATGTCTGATCTTTATCAGCTGATGATCGCGTTTTCACTTTAAGTGGACCTGTTCCGGTCGAACGGGCATTTCTCTCGAATCTTAGTCTACGCTTCCTATTCTTTTCACCATCGATTCAGACCCCATGGCTAATATTGGATGAAATTTGACGACATGGGTTAAGTCTCTGACATCTTGAAATAAACATTGCACATGTACATGTCTTAATGGCGACATTTTGTACTCACATTGCCAGTCTTATAAAATATGGCTGAAAGGCCATGACTTATAGATGTTATTAGATCAACAAAGGCATAACGATATTGTGCATTTACCCCAGCGCATGTGGTGCCTATAAAGCATAAAAATATTGTCATTACGAACCTGTCGTCGATGTTTCGTAGCCTACCTGTATTCCTTGGCTATAGTCGAGCTGTCAAATGCGTGCAGTCACTTATAAAGTAGGTCACGTCTATTTTTAGATCTGACAACAGCACGGAGGCGATAGCAAGGTTTGTACAGGCCTACTAACGTATAATATACATTGCCTTATTTGGAAATTTTTCGAAAGTGCAGAATTTGATCGTTGCTATGCTGCTGTATTGACCTTGACCTACTAACGTACTATGCATTGCCTTATTTGGACNTGTATTCCTTGGCTATAGTCGAGCTGTCAAATGCGTGCAGTCACTTATAAAGTAGGTCACGTCTATTTTTAGATCTGACAACAGCACGGAGGCGATAGCAAGGTTTGTACAGGCCTACTAACGTATTTATAATATACATTGCCTAATTTGGAAATTTTGCGAAAGTGCAGAATTTGATCGTTGCTATGCTGCTGTATTGACCTTGACCTACTAACGTACTATGCATTGCCTTATTTGGAAATTTAACACCAGTGCAGAGTTTCACCGTTGCTATGCTGCTGTATTGATCTTAAAAACGTTTGAGAAAGATACAACAGCCTGTTTTGATATAAAAAACGACCGAAAAGCGATTAGTCAAGTAGGCCTCTTCCCTAACCCCTACATGTAGCTCCCAGCCTTCCTAATACACTCTTAAAATTAGGGTTCTTGCGAACCGAATTCATCCGTAAACTAAAGCCATACAGTAAGGTCTTTAAAAATTAAGCTTTATTCCCAAATGTAAAATATATAAGACATTTAAGTAGTAGTTGTTGTTTGCGCTAATTATAATTATCCTACATGTTCAAACAGACATCTAGGTTGGTATGATTAAAGAAAAGAAATATAAAAATATATATACACCTGTATCTAGAAGCCATGTTCATAGGCTTTAATATGGGGGGGGGGTCCTCTTGACAACGACAACAACAACAATAATAAACATAAAGAACATACATGGCGTTTTGGCAAGATATAATCAGGCAAGATACATCACTTACTGCTATACCAATAGCCTTATTATGGCAAGTGATTAATGAAAAGAAATATAAATAATATTACACCTCTATCTAGAACTCATGTTCATAAGCTTCAACAGGGGGGGGGTCCTCTTTCCCCCTTAAATTATTTGGAAAAGAAATTTTTGTTTGACGGGAATTAACAAAGTGTAAGTAATTTCCTTTCTCCCAGCACAGCAGAAGTGTCTTACATTTTCTTCATTCTTCAAGAGTTTCACAGGCGGAGCAAATAAATTGCAGTCGTGTTATGTTTATATTATAGATTTTAGCGGGTTTCCACAAACATAATTCAGCCTACGACCCTATTTTATGGCTTCAGAACACCTGCTTAAGGCTTATTGCCGTCTTACGTATTCATCATAAGGCCTACGTTAAAACCTAGTGTTAATAAAGGTAAACGTTCTGTGACTTTTTAATATAAAAGTGGCGAATCTAGCATAAAAGGAATTCGTGCGTGATGCCAAGCATATAGTGTGGACATAATTACATTTGAATATTCTGCACAGCTTAAGATTAACTTTTGGGATAACTCCTATTCATCGATATGCACAGACAAGTGCCCGCGCATCAGCGCCTCCTGTGCACTTCGACCCTAAAAGGTCGTGGAGACCGCACGATTGACCACTGGGACTTGAGGCTCGGTTTCTCTTCCCCGGCGGGTATCGTAAACGAGAATTGCTGAAGCAAGTTGGTGAAGAACAGGAATAGTTCCATCTTTGCAAGGGACTCCCCCAGACACACACGGCGGCCTGTAAGGAAGACGAATAATAGAGCACGAAAAAGTAAAAAAAAAAAAAAACATTTTACGAGAACATTTAAGACAGTCGTTAATGTTTCTGTGAGACATAAAATAAATATAATAAAGGGAAAATGATGACGGAGGCAAATATCTTTTTTATGGTTTACAGAAAATCCTAATCTGACATCACAAATTGCTTAAAATTTCATTTTATTTCTCCCCTTTAGTCTCGTCATTGCTGATGTGACAAAAGTGGTAGTCCTCTATGAACCATAGTCCGTTCCCCATTACTTTGTACAGGTGACATTCGCCTACAGGTACGAGACAGAGGCTAACCCTTATCATTATAACAAATACCCCGTTCACACTGCAGTCATTTAACCGGTTAAATAGCGAATTAGGTCAAGATTCGAATTATTGCGGTAGTCTGAACGCATGAGGATTTTTGTAAACCGGTTTCCAACAATCCTACTAGCGAGCTGGATTCTCTCCAGCGGTTCGGTTACTTTACCGGAAGGGCCACCTGTTTAGATCGCACTGCGCATGCACTAGCAAATCTCGCGGGAAAGAAAAGCAACATGCCAGGTCAATGGACCCACACTCTCCATCGAAACCCAGCTATTCTCCTTCTTGTATCTGTCAAATTCTTCCAGATCTTACTTAAATCTTCCTTTTGACGACTTTTGAGTTAAATTTGATGTTCCAAAAACAAACACACGAGAAAAAAAAACTGAGTGCGAGAAGAGCAATGATTGGCGCCATATTTTTGTTTTCATGGGTTCTGCGCTTGCGCGATTCTTCAAACCGGAACCTCCACCTGAATTTTCAGTGCACGATTCGGTTTTCCCTTTGCTGTGTGTGGCCATACAACCGAATCGGATTTTTCACCCGTAATTTGCATTGCAAAAATTCGAATATTTCAGATTGTAGTGTGAACGGGGTATAAATGGAGGGCGGACTTTCTGTTACACGGACCCTCAGTTTCGTTACACCGGCACGTGTACAAGACACAAGTCATTTTAGTGTTTCATCTGGATCTAAGAACCTGTGGGTAAGAATCGACTACTGAACTCGGATATGGGCAGATATTGGTGAGAGGAAATAGAAGTTGTGACTGAGCTTACTTACGTATGTATACAGAAATGTTTCGTGCAGAACATTTATAGTTTGAATCAAGACTGAATCAAACGAAACACCTACCAAGAGAGAATGGTGTCAGGCAATCTGGAATTTTCCCCAACTTTCCATTTTCGTCCAAAAATCTTGCTGGGTCAAACTTATCTGGGTTGTTCCAAATTTCCTCATCAAAAAAGACAGATACAAAACATGCAGTTACGGTTGAGCCTGCGGGGAGGGTATAGCCCTGAAAAAAGAGAGTTGGTGACATTGAACCAGTCACAATAACAATATATAGTACTCAAAGTATTATTTAAATCCATTAAACTTTTGAACAATATTTTTGAAAAATATATTTTCAATATATATATATATATATATATATATATATACAGTGCTGCCATACCAATATCTCCACATCGTCGGTGGTACAATGGCCCACAATAGGGACGATACACCCAAAGCGCTGTATCTCCAGCAGTGTTGCCTCCGTATAGGGCAAGGAGGCACGGTCCTCCATCGAGACACGGCGGGAACCTATCACGCTGTCAAGTTCATCATGAACCTTCAGAAGAAAAGGGTGTAATAAAATGTATTTAATATTTATTTTAAACTAAACTGACTGCGATTAAGAGGGAGACTATCAAATTTGAAGTAATTCGCAAAAACGAGGCATTTTCTTTGATGGTTTTCTTACACAGGGGGGGATTTAGGCCGTCTTCGGGGTCTTCAGGAAGACTGTCAGATTTCAAGTTTACATTGACGGGTATCTAATTTTTTCTGTCGGAAGACGGTCAAAATGGTGGATGGATCAACGAAAATAATTTGGAAGACTCTCAGAAAATATCTTTGGGTCCGCCCCTGTATTACACGTTTGAAAATGTCCAAAGCCATAGATCAGTGTCTTAAAATCCAGCAAAACAACTCACATTTGTAATTCAGACATTAAACGATAAAAAATACCCATTAATCAAAAGCTCCTGATGGCAACATTTCTTTCTGGAGAGCATGCTGGCGCCTTTAATGGATCACTTAATGGATTACTAAGCTATTTTTAAAATAAAATATTTCAAACCAACTAATCCAAGGGACGAGTGGATCAGTGATTCACAAGTATGACAATTTTATTTATTGCACTAGAAAATAGATTTGGCTTGAATAGCTCACATATAATACCTTAAATTGACATTACCTTTTTCTGCAAGTCCGGATACAGAATCAATAAAAGCAGTGCCCATCTGAGAGTGGCTACCGTAGTGTCCATGCCCGCAAAAAATAATTCTTCCACCGTTGTCAACAGTTGGAATTCTGTCATAAACCAAATTAAATATATAAATATTTATGAGAAATTAAAAATTCCTTTCGTGCGCAGTATACTAGTATAAACGTAAAAAAACACTGAATATTTTGAAGATCTTTCAGATCAACTGGGCCTCTTCAGGGTAAGCTTTAACTTACCATAAAAGCCGACGTTTTTGTTCCCAAAATAAAAGACCATTGGTTAGGGAAATCATAATGGAGCCAGAACGAGACCACTACTGGTACATGCTAGCACTTTTGAGTTTTTAAGACTTGTGTGTCAAAGATAAGGAAGATATCAAAACACTAAGAGGCATTCATTATTCCCTTTCTTCTTCTTCTTACCAGTGAAATACGTTCCCTCTTTGTCTTTCTCAGCCTTCAAAGCCTTGATGTAGGCATCCGTGAAGCACTGTATGTTGTCCGGGTCATATTCTGCCATATGTTTCTGGATTCTTTCTTGGAGAAACTTCCGTGAAATCCCCATGTGTTTAAAAGTGTAGTGAAGTTTAAAAGGATCTCCAGGGATGTATCTTAAAAATGGATACACAACTGCATTTTGTGCCAGTCTGAAATAAAGCAAAATAGGTCTGTAACCTATGATGGTTGATAGGTAGTGGCAAAATTCATGGAACTCATCTAAGATAACCCTCCGACACTGCATGACATCATACCAGAATAAAATGTTAGCCAAAATCGCAAAAGCCCCATGGGGCGGGAATTTCGTATTAAAAAGCAATACAAATGTAACACGCTTAACAATGGTGAATGCGTATTGTTGAGGAAAAATACTACAATTCTTTATAACTAAGAAGAGAAAAGAAACGAACAAAAATACCAGTGGAAAAATTCTCTTAGTTGCTATTCTTTGCCTTGCTGCTATTCTAAATTCATCAAAACCCCGATTAATTTTCAGTCACGAGACTGTTTTTTTTCCAGATTATTTTCAAAAACATCATTTCCTGTGATATAATAAATTAAAGACCTATGAATTGATGCAGGTTAGAGTCAACCATCTCCACAAACTTTTTAAAAAGGAAGGTTGATATCATGCCACGAGATTATATTGACATCTCCAAGTATTATCAATAACAGCTACAGTCAATAAGCTAGACAGCAAATAATCTAAAATACAAATATTCAGCTGAGCATCACTAATAAGTACAACAAACTGATACTTCGTACAAGAAATATTTGAATTGGTCCATCATATTCTTCATGATCTGCTGGAACTTTGGATCATCATATTGAAATCTGAAAATGGAAAACATACAATGACATATTCACTATAAATACTGTCCGAGCAATAACTCTCAATGCTTATACCCAACAGTCTTGTTATTTGGGCTGAACTAATATGGTACATTTGATCGTAATTAAAATTAAATTATTATTATCAAGATATAATTTCCAAGTCTCAAAAAGGCAGATGCCATAAAACAGTTATACACAGCTTTCTTTTATATGTTATTAACGTAACGTGAATTACCAGTACACACACAATAATTCTTAAATTATATTTCCGACCTTGATAGGGAATGCCACATTCTGGGGCATAAAAATGAATGAAATATCCATTTCTTATCATTTGAAGTTATTTTCTACACATTGGATAATTTCAGGGGGGGTTAACAGGAGAAGGGGGTGGGGGCGCGAGATCCAAATGGTCTCATCCCTGCAACTGGTACATGCAAAAAGGTTTCAATCAATGCAGAGCGAACTGGATATGGTTTGTAACTCTCACCTTTCCCCAAACACTAGGGAATTGGTAACATTGGATATGGCAGGCATCAAAAGGTTCCGAGGATCCACAGCTTTGCCTTCAAATTTCTGGAACTCATCGACAAGATATCCTATCTCTTCCTGGATCATTTCCGAGATGGAGGTCTTCCCCAGTCCAAAGTCGCGTAAAGTCATCAGGGCAAATCTACGCTGTTGTTTCCACAGATCTCCCCAAGAGTTGAAGATACCATGTACAACACCTGTGTCTGATAGGATAGAAGGTTTGGTCATAGTTTGCAATGGCTTTGACAGAGAACCTTAACTTTGATTTATATACTTGTTCTGGAATGATATGTTCGAACAAAGATTACATAGCAATCACACCTCTGGGTTTCTATGGCATGTATCGGTGTTCAACATTGGATTTAGGAAAGATCCTTTTTTCCAGTAAAAAAAATCGAGGAAAACCTTGTAGGAAGCATCCCTTACCAATCACCATCAGCCTTAAAACTCACCGCACGAAGTTGTCATTATTGAATCAAAAGACCACCCATATCTGATTCCGGCTTGACAAAAATAAATGTTCAAACGCACCTTTGGGGTCTACACGTTTTACTTACCATGATGCGTGTTCCATTCCGTCCAAAAGAATTTGGTAGGCCTGCCGGTTAATAAATGCCCATTCTTGATGAAAGCTTCATGGATACCCTTGTAGGTGGTCAGAAGAAAGTTTTCAGGCCCAGTGAATCCGTTTTGGAACCTTGTGATAGGTTGGTTGCCACCTATTTTCTTTAGCAAACTGTCCGTGTCTGCGAAACTACCCAGGAGTTCACTGAAGGGGATCCAGAATTGCTTGCGTGGCATGTTATATTTAGGCTTGAAAATAAATACATAAATAAGTAAATAAATTAATTTATTAATAGAAATGCACTAATGCACTCAGAGAGCGCATACCATCGAAAAGGCAGCCCAATTGTCATTATTAATTATCTATTAATTCACTAATTATACTCAATACTCGTAAAATGAATCGCAAATTTAATGATTAATAAGCTTAATTACAGTTATCATTACTTCTTAATCATTAAACAATTAATATATTTTCGAATCAACTAATTATCAATGAATCACCGCCAAATTCTAGCTTATTTAGACATATCCTAAACATTTCAAGTCCGTACATAACTTTAAGCATAAAGAAAGAACGCAAATCAAATTGCCAAAATCCTGAATATTTCCAATGAAGCCTTCACATTAGTGATCCATTCGCAGTAAATTAATAATTATTAATAATTAATAAATAATTATTAATAATTAATAATTAATCTATATCCAATACTGGTAGATCTCTACATCTCTCTCTCACTGTTTGAATTCAGTTAACATCCTACCTTCTCTCTTCTTCTCCATAACCATACCACGAGGAACGTGATGATGAACACCACCAGCACCGAGGTGGTTTGGGAGATATCCATTAGTCCCATCATCTGTAAAAGGTATAGCAAATGTATTCACGTTGTTAAAATCGTACAGCTTTATAAAAAACGTTAACAAGCCAGGTAATTTTGACACACGTGCAGACAGACTGTTTCAGTTTGAAAACGAAGACGGAAGAAAAAAGAGAATACAGCAACAAGCAACCGTTAGCCGCGCCGCTTACAGTCTAAACCTAAGCACGATGGGGTGGAGGTTGGGAAGGGAGTAAGGAAAACCGCTTAATGGTTAACCTCACGCCTACCTCCATCCCCCCTCCCCCAACACCACTGATTACGGTTACGTCCAATTGTTCCCATTCAAGGACTGTAGTGAGCAATTGAACCGCCATTAGTTGACCCAACTTCAAAAATAGCATAGAAGCTAGATAATCGAATATCTATTCAGTCAGTGCTCGGGCTTTGCTGTTCGCTTCCTAAGCGCCTAATAGACTAGATGGTCGAGATTTAAGTCCTTTTCAGGCCAGATGGGCGCTTCATCCCTCCTACCCTCCCCAGCTGTAAGTCTGCTATACGCGCCTGGCATATAGCATCCGGCATTATCAGTTCACCCCCGATGACCTGACTCGGAAGGAATACTGACGATGTGGGCAAAATCTCCGACATCTTGAAATCGACCTTGGCGGCTACATTTTGTACTAGCTGTCTTATAAAATTTAAAGGCCGTGGACTAGACATAGCTCTTTACCCTATATATATGCCCCAGTTCATGTTGCATCTTAAGCCGGCTGCAAAGCATATAAAACATTGTTTTTATACCGACCTGCCGTCGATGTCTCGTCTGTTATTCGTTTTTAGTCCAGCTGCCTTGTCAAGGGAAAGTATCGAGATATTAAGTAGGTCAGGTCTATTTTTAAATCTCGTAGTCAATAAAACACAACCCAATATGTTGGAAGAAGGGGGTTTTACTACCATAATATGTGTGATACCAAGAGGAAGGCTGGGTGTTGACGCTCTCGCCTCCCTGGGTAGGGTACAGCAAGGCTGCCGTATGAACCGCCCAAAGCTAACAAACGAACAATATTTTTTGCTGCCAGACCAGGAATTTTACCCCTTTTTCAAACCCCAGGTGCCGAGTGCCAAGCGGGGAGACAGCAGGTACTGTTTATGAAGGACTGGTATGTCCTCCTAAGGCCACACTTTTTTATTTTTATGGATGACATCCTCTGGGGACCCCGAAATCGGTGCGAGAGGGCGAAAAAAAAAAAAAACAGTCCAAAAAAAAAAACAATGCTGCTTAAGTAAAGGAATGCTGTCAGTACACAGCTGGAAACACCAATTTACCACAGAAACACGTATCAAACTAACAATATGTCTTTATCCATGCTCTCAAAATATTAAAGTATTGTGAATACTTCGCAGAAAGGTAAAAAAAGTCATGAATAGGGTGTGACTGAAGTGTCTTTGTTGCGCTGTATTGCCGTGTATTGCGCATTTCGGTCACACCGTCTATAGGTATGAATAGACGGGCCCGTAGCCAGGGGGTTAGAAAGAACCACCCCTTTTGCTGGGAAAAGGTCCACTCTGGGTAAAATTTGATCTAGATACATTAAGTTTTTATGGAAAATGGTCCACTTTTTCAAAAAAAGAACCCCCCCCCTTTTGAAATTGCTGGCTACGGGCCTAATAGGCATGCTGCATATTACCCAATCTATTTAAGGTTATTTCATGCATTTTGTTAACATTTGAAAACAAATATCAAACAAACAGCATGTCTTTATTTGTACTCTCAGAATATTAAAGCATTATGAACACTACACAGAAATGATGCAAAGATATGCTTATACTACCAATTCTATAAAAGGTCATTTCGGTCGATGCCATTTGGTCTACTTCCGACTCACATGAAGCAGCCAAACTGTCGGGTGGCCTGACCGACCTACAGCCCACCAAAAACATGACCCCCTGTCGACCCTTTTTTTTTTTCGCTACAAAAAAACCTGATATGTGTTGCTTTGGACAGAATATCACTGAAATTTTCCGGGCGATAATTGCTGGCCGCCGCCAGCCTTTCGCATAATTGTAAAAAAGTGGATATCTCCATGCCTAATATCAATGGCATAACAACCCAAAACGACGGCCCCGTTCTCTTTATGACTTTATATAATTAATTGTCCTGTAATTTGAAAGTAATCCCAGAGATGAATTTGATGGCAAAGCGGCCATATTTCCACGTGGCAGTAATACGCATGCGCAGAAAGCACATTTTCCGGCAAATTGAATAACGACGTTTGCGACAACCGACTTCGATGG